TCGGCCCGAGCCCTTTTGTAGCTCCGCCCCTGATTACTGCAATACGTTATACAAACTTCCAAGCTTCCGCTCTTGCCGCAGTCCTTCATGCAATCATCGTAGCATTTCGTGAACTTTCTGTTCGGCGGAGAGGCAGAGCACATCATCCCGCCGGTGGTCAGCAACAGAACCGCCAGAACCGCCGCCACAAACTTGGCCTCCATGATGTATCAACGAACGAACGGACTCAAACGTCTCTGGAAAATTGTTCTCCAATTATCAACTCGCCCGTTCTTACACATATTTATACATGCGTAGCAATCTGCTAAAGATGGAAGTGCCAGATTCTCAAATCTCGATGAACTGTTATTTGGGAAGTTAATAATAATGACTAATGGGGAATATATTTTTTTTTTCGCTTTCTATAACGACATGTATTCTTATAATCTCAGAATTCATTCGGAGACCGTTTGGAGAATATGAGTCTAAATCTAGAGATTGTCAACAATCTAAAGATTTTAACTTTTCGGATTGTTGAAAATAGATTTTAAAATATTTATTGTTTGTTAACCGAGATTGTTAACATTCCATGAAAATAAAAATTCTATTTTATATTAAATATAATGTTTATCCTTAATGAAAATAATTAGAGTGGTTCGAGATATATGGAGAACTTTGTTGATAAATAAAAAAAAGGAAGGAATAAAGTAGGAGAAAAAAACCCTCACGGATCAAGATATAGAATCTCTATGAATATGAGAGATTTGATATTCGTAGATTTTAGAGATTTGAAATCTCTAAATCTAAAATCCATAATACAAAAAGCAACAAAAAAAAAACATTATTTTCTACAAAATCTATTGATTTATTGAATCCACGAATTAAATCGTGTTCTCCAAACGACCCTAAATTGAGAATAAACTTTTCAGTTATTCTATGAGTGTAGTCGCCACTCTACACCGACAACTTGGGTGCCAGATAATATTGTACCGATACGTATTTCACTTACGGATGAAACATCTTACTCTTCACTTTCATTTTGTTCGGCAATTGTAACAACTATTCTATCAAATTCATAACGAACATGAAATACAGAGAGAAAGCAATAAGAGAACTCCATTAATTATTCTATAAACAACAATTAAACAACAGCATACTGAAAAGAGAAGACCCTTGAGCCATAGCTTATTGATGATTAATTATTGTCGTCATCTCTATTGATATAAGCATGCGCCGTTAAGCTTATTGATTATTTTATTTTGACAAAAGCAGCAACATACTGAAGAGAAGATCCCTGCGCTATGAGCCACAAAATTCAGCTTCGGGTCAATAGGTCACTTTGGGCTTACTAACAAGCCCAGAATAAAAAGCCCGAGAGTGGGGACGGGATGGCTTGCTAACTTCCTAATAGTTAGGAGCGTACTAACCCATTAATTATCCTTCATCTTTTTTTTTGCAAATCATAAGTGAACAGTGGCGGAGGCAGTGCATACCAAGGTGGGTCCCGGGACTCACCTTGGCTCGGGAGAAAATATGTACGTCTAGGTTAATAGTGGTAGAAGGTTGTATCGGACAAGTTAACGATAGGATATTTTATGCTGAAAAGGTGGTTTAATCATGGTTCAACCATTTTCATATCACTAATATCTTCTATCAATTTCGCTTCCAGCATGAGATTTTTCTTATCGAACCACTAGTACGCTACGGTTTCTCACTCCTTAATACAATAATTAAGTGAGAATGAGATTTTTCACCTAAAATTCATCAATATTGATCAATATTTCTACCATCAAACAATAATTTTTCTACCATCAAACAATAATTATATCATGAACTTAGCTATCATCATTATATATAATACATTTTAGTTTCTACATAAATAATATTAGCATATAATATAACTTCATCCTCCAAGCTTCAAATCCTTAATGTATCCATTATCTATCGCCAAAGCTTCATTTTGTTGAAACTCACTAGATCCTTTTTATCCTAATAACGAATTCAATAAATCAGGTTTTAGACTCAAACTAAGGCTACACTGCAAGTGTTGAAAGAAATTTTTCAATGAACCACGTGGATATTAAAAAAAAATCGGACCCACCTTACATATAATCCTCGCTACGCCACTGTAAGTGAATGGTCCATTATCCTTCATCTTTTAATTTCACATCCACGAAGTATATTTTAACTCATTAATTAATTGGGACGGGATAGTATTTTTGGTGATAGATATTTTCAAGTAATGGTCATGTATAGATATAGTGATTTGGATGATTTGTAGTAGTAATTTATCATCAATTTACTACTACAAATAACCATAAATCACTACTACAAATAATAAAATCACTACTATATATCATCAATTTACTACTACAAATCATCAAATCAAATGCTACTAATGCACCGAATCTCACTATCGTCTTAAAGTCACTACCACAAACGCGCTAAATAACTACTAATAGCTACAAAATCACTACTAACTTTAAAATTACCACTGAAAATCATATAAACCATAAAAAAATATTTCGATTTTGACTTTTCTACTACCATGAAAACACTACCATTCTCAAAGATCCCTTTCACGGTGAAAAAATGGACACTTGTGATATATATAAATTATAAAGAGAGAGGGAGATACTACGCCTACCAAATTACTACTACACACCTAAAACAATAGAGTAATGTCTTAGCTGCATGAATAATAGTAATTTTTAGTAGTACTTGAAGAGGTAGTAGTGTTTTCCATGTAGTTTTTTTAGGTACAGACCGAGAGCTATGACGGAGAGGAGGAGAGAGAGACGTGATGGAAGGGAGGAGAGAGAGGAAAAAATTGTAACCGCATTCCATTACAATTTCCCCCTAAAAATCAGCAATAATTTCAAAAAATTTAATTATTTCGTAATATTCTAATTTGTCATTTCTTTAATTATATTAAACATAAAAATAAATGCTAGTTAGGATGGTGCTAACCCTCTATGGAGTTAGCACCGTATCTTCTCCCCCGAGAGTGGGTAGGGACATTTATCAACAAACATTTTTTTAAATTTTAATAAAATATTAATCTGTGTATTTACTAGGATAATGAATTTCGTTCCGTGATATATCAATATTACGGTATTAACATCACATGTCTCTTATTATTCATTCATATCAACCACCACCGGCCGACAAGAAATCAAACCGGCCACACCCCGCCGTAGAATGTGGAAAACAACTATTTCCATCAGCTTCATAACGAACCATGACATATATATGAAATATACACACAAAGCAAAATATATATATAAGAGAAATTGATTATAATTTTATTCTTCCTCGACACAAATCAAAACAACATACTCGAGAGAAAGCAAAATAAGGGATTTGTAACTAAAACAAAACCGTCACTACTTTTATTATTTAATTTTTACAAAACAGCAAAATAAAGAATAGAAGACCCCTACGCGCTCCTTTTGATTATACTCGCCGGCCGTCGTCGATGGACGCATGCCATTCACTGCTACTAGTCGGCGGCGTACACCTGTCGACGCACAACCTCTCACAAAATTCCAAGCCACCGTGATGGCCGCATTCCCATGCACGCATTGTAGCATTGTTTGAAATTGTCGGCAGAAGCAGCACCCATCAACCCACCGGTGGTCACCAATAGCACCGCCAGCAATGCCGCCAAAAACTTGTGCTCCATTATATATATATATATATATATATATATATATATATATATATCAACGAAAGAACAGGCTCAAACGTCGTCGGAGAATTTTAATTTCCTTTGGTTTGGCTGATAGAGTAAAGCTCGATAGAGCTTACATATTTATATATATGCTGATATAGCAATAGCAATCTGCCGCAAGAAGGTAATGCCTGATTCTCAATTAATTATCATGATTCTCGATTAATTATTAGCGGGAAAGTGACTAAAAGAAATAGTAATAGGGAAATCAAAATTTTATTCCTTTCTATAATTATATATGTATTCGTAGAATCTCAGAATTAATTATTAGTATACAATTGAGAAAGTTTATGTTTCTCCATATGTGTCATAACAAACAATCACTTCATATAAACAGAAAGCAAAATGTATTAGAGAAAGCCACTATAATTTTATTCTGTCTTCGACACAAATCAAACAACATACTAGAGAGAAGCAAAATAAGGGATTTGTAACTAAAACAAATCCGTCGCTACTTTTATTATTTAATTTTGACAAAACATGAAAAATAAAGAATAGAAGACTCATGTGCGCTCCTTTTCATTATACTCGCCGGTCGGCGTCGATGGACGCATGCCATTCACTGCTACTAGTCGGCGGCGTACACTTGTCGGCGCACAACCTCTCGCAAACTTCCAAGCTACCGTTATGACCGCATTCCTTCATGCACGCATTGTAGCATTGTTTGAAATTGTCGGCAGAAGCAACACCCATCAACCCTCCGGTGGTCACCAATAGCACCATCAGCAACGTCGCCAAAAACTTGTGCTCCATAATATATATAAAATGCTTCGGTTTGGCTGATAGAGTAAAGCTCAATAGAGCTTACATATTTATATATGCTGATATAGCATATATAACAATAGCAATCTGCCGCAAGAAGGTAATGCTTGATTCTCAATTAATTATCCTGATTCTCGATTAATTATTAGTGGAAAAGTGACTAAAAGTGATAGTAATGAGAAAATCAAATTTTTATTCCTTTCTATAATTATATATGTATTCGTAGAATCTCGTAATTAATTATTAGTATACAATTGAGAAAGTTTATGTTTCTCCATGAATAATAAGTACGATTTAGTGCATGCCTGATTCTAAACTTAATTATTAGTGGGAAGTTCAATGTAGAGACAGTAATGGGGAAATCAAATTTTTATCACTTTCTATAATTATATGTATTCATAGAATCAGAGAATTAACTAGCATAAAAATTGAGAATAAAATTAATTAGTAAATGATTGTACAATATATATAAATATTTATTTATTTACATATGACACAAATAGCAAAAAAAAAAAAAAAAAGTCATTTAATCTGGCTCATCCATAAGAAGCCTACAGGTAGTCCTCCTAACAAACCTAAAAGAAAACAAGAAAAAAAGGGTTGCAACCCCGGCTACGACGAGAAAGCCCAACCAGGCTCTGTCAAAACTGAAGTACAACTCAGGAAAAGTCCAAACTAACAGTATGCTGCAAACAAACCTAAACAAAAGACTAAAACCTAAACTAGGTGCTCGTACTACGAGAGGTAGCACCTCCGGGCCGTACATCCACGGGATCGGGCCCGACCCAAGCCCGATCACCACCTCGAGTGCGAGCATCCCGACGCACGACATCGCGAAGGCGGTCTTGCAACCGACGTGCCCGACGTGGTCCTGTGCGTCGACAAAGGTCGTGGCGCTCAGAAGTCCCAGCAAGCACGCGGCTGCCCTGAGGCCCACGAGCAGCAGTCCCCGGCGTCGTGCCATCGACCTCCCTGCCGCGTGCATGGAGATCGACGTCGCGACCAGCATGACGCTAGCCAGCACGAGCCCCGCGACAGGGAAGTACCTCCTAAACCCTAGTCCGTGCTGTCTTAGGACAGCAGGAACTAACTCGAGAGCTATCTGTTCGTACGTCGCCTCCAGGACGACGTACAGAACAGCGGCGACGAAGACGTCGCGGGGGTAAGAGTCTAGGTAGTACATCACGTCTCCCCAAAAGCCGGTGAGATGTCTGGGGAAACGATCTCGCTGGCGGTCGAGGGGGCGGTTGAGGGTGGTCAGAAATCCTGCGAGGCGCTCCAGTCGCGCCCTCTGATCGTGCGGCTCAGCTCCGTCGGCGCCGCAACGCTCCATCAGCAGCTCTGCGTCGAGACCCTGGCCGCGCAACGCCAACCAGCAAGGTGTGTCCGTGAACAGTCTGGAGAAGACCCTGTAGGTAAAGTAGGCGGTCGGCAGTGTGGCAGCCCCGGCCATCACCCTCCAGGCCAGATGCCTGGAGACCCGAAAGAGTGACAACCGCAGTACGTGGGCTGCTATGGTCCCTACTACAAGCCGTACCTAAAACAATAAAAATTAATCCAATTTTAGTTATCTTTTGGTATTTGTTGTTACCTTCTCCTTACATACTATTCTACACCTATATATAAAAAGGGGTTAAACACCTCTCATGCCACTAAACTTTGAGAATTGGCTACCACTAAAATGAAAATAGGGCATTAAATACCATCAAATTCAATATATTGTGCATCCATCCATTTGACTATAATTGGGCACATTAACATTAAGTGGGCCATGTAAGTCCTCTCATCTCCAAATGCTCTGTGGGTCGGACTCTTGAATGACTTGTATTTGCCTAATTTATGAGTTTCGTGAGGCTCTCAAAGGAAGTAGAGCAACCTGAATTTGGACTAGTTTCTATTATGTCTTGAAGTGGATGGAACTAGGGATGATTAGAGTTATTGGAAATGGACGGTCTATTCGGATTTTCAATGAACCTTGGATTCCAAGGAAATCATGTGGTTGTATCCTCGGCCCAGCTGATGATCTAAGGAAATTTTGTGATCTAATTCACCAGACGAATCGCTCGTGGGATTTCTAAGCAATTGGTCACCCACTCCCGAGGGAGGATCAACAGGCTATCGAGTTGATCCCCATAGGATCTCACAATATGGAGGAATTTTGGGCATGGCGGTTTACGGCGATCAGGGAGTTTACGGTCAGCTCAGATCCCGGTTTCGCGGAATTGAGAGCTTAGGGGTGTCCATGGAAGATAAGGAGAAGTGTAAATGGCTCTGGAGCCTCTTCTTACCTCCAAAGATCAAATTCTTTATGTGGAAGGCCTCAAGGGGAGCTAATTTGGTCACTAAATCAAATCTCTTCTCACGTCATTATTCTCCTTCTCGAGAGTGTCCAATTTGTTTCTAGACGGACAAGTCCACACACCACGTGCTCTTTGGATGTGCCCATGTAGGAGCTTAACGGATACAGTTTTCTCCTGAGATCGCCCTTCCACCCCCTTCTCTGAAAGTTGTTGACTGGTTAAGGGCGATATCGAAGACATTCCATCAGGACATTCCACAACTGATTGCTTATCACCTCTGAAATACGTGGAAAGCTTAGAATGAGAAGATTTTCAAGAACTCCCCCCCGGCCCGCCCGCACAATATCGAGAACATTACAAGAATTCCATCGATGGAAGACTTTCCCTCGAAAGAGGAAAGAAGGGACCAGTAGTTCTAGTCGGCTTATCCCACCTTCATCCCATCCCTCACCACCGCCAGATAATCTCTACTTTGAAATTCACTGTGATGGATAATTTTGTCATGATTCCTAGGAGGCAACATATGACGTAGTCACTGCTAACACTCATGGAGAGGTTTGTAATGGAAAGGCCGACTCCCTACTCTGCAACTCAGTTTTGGAAGCGGAAGCGAGGGCATTACAGGAAGGATGGTTGCTTGCAGTGGAGAACTTTCGTCCATGCATGGTCAGATCTGATTTTAAAACATTGGTGGACGCTTTTCGAGGACCGAGAAAGGGTTGGACGTGAATGGTTGCTGCGAGGCTTGAAATCGTTGCATCCTCTCTCTGACGAGCCCCAAATGTGGGAATCGCCTTTGTTCGACGTGCATGCAATGTACATGCAAACTGGGTTCCCCGGTCATGCACTAAAAACCAACTGTCGAGCGATTGGATCACCATCCTTAATGTTATTTCCCCTCTTTTGTAACCTTTCGCTCAGCTTATGGGATTAATGTAGAGTTTCTTTGTAATAAAAAAAACATTCATCTTTCCCCATCCTTATTATATTCCCATCCCATAAATACATAATAAAAACATCGCCCGAACACTAACAACTCCAATTAGAGGTGGCAATTAGGATCCAAATCCATGAATCCAATCCAATCCATCCACCAAATTATCCACCTAATCTAATCCATTTGATCCAAATCCAATTGGATTGATGGATTCATGGATCAATCCATTGATCCAAATGACAAATTACGATTTGGTACCTATATTTTTTATATTTTACATTTTGGTACCTAAAATTTATATTTTTATACGAAAAATATCATTGGAAAATTACATTTTGGTACCTAAAATTTTTCATTATGACATTTTAGTACCAAAACTTTTCAAATTTTACATTTTGGTCCAAGCCTTGGATGCCATTTGGATTCATGGATCAATCCAACAATCCATTTGATCCAATCCATTAATCCACCAATCCATTGGATCCAATCCATTTGATCCATGGATCCACGAATCCACGCATCCGATCCAATTGCCACCTCTAACTCCAATACATGCGTCAGTTCGCTCTCTTTCCTCCCAAACACTTTCCCACTTCTTTTCCCAATCCTAGTGGGAGGAGCGAATTCCTAATTGGTGTGTAGATTTGTACAAGTTTAGAATGGACCGATGATAATTTACTAATGATTGCTTTAACATAGGAAGAAAGCTCTACTTTAGACATCCAGCGCCACGAGATCGTCGTCACTGCAACTGCAAGGACACTAGCCGTGATTTCGCGATGGTTGGTACGTACAATCTTGCCTTCTGATTCCGGCCAAGCCAATTGCAACGTAAGGTACAACATTCAAACCCAATAGGAAGGGAAGCCTCTGCACTTGATGCCCGCAACAATAGCTATGGTCGAGATGATACAGAGAGAAGAAGGCGGAGAGTGACGTGCCGAAGTTGGTAGATCTAAGCTCGAGGCTGTTCGGAGTGTCGATCGGCATCAAGTGGATGAGGAGAGACGAGCAAGAGACTGGAACATGGACGAAGGAAGAGCAATTGGGGGTAGGAAGAAGACGAAGATAGACTGCGGAGGAATCCGATGTAACGACTCGATAAGAGGAATGGATGGAAAAATAGATGGATATACAATTTATTGAGTTTGGTGGTATCTAATGCCCTATTTTCATTTTAGCAGTATGATGCCCTCAATTCTCAAAGTTTAGGGGCATGGAAAGTATTTAACCCTATAAAAGGGATTACAAATTTAAGAAATGTTACATAGTATTTCCGAACAAAACAATCTTATGCATGATTGGACCTAGGGTTTATTGCACCTAGTAGAGCATTTAACTCCTGAGTGTTGGCCACTTAAGATTTAATAATGGCAATTAACGTTTCGGACCGAATTATTAACTGTGCAACCGAAAATAAAATTAAATGGAATTTATGTGAAATTATCAAAACTTAAGTGGTCAACGTACAACTAAATCAAGAGTCAGCCAAATATTCGGTGCAGTTGACTCATTGAACCTAATCTTGAATCTGTCTTTTACATAGAGCCCATGAGTTTGTTTGAATCGAATTGTTTTGTGAGGACCTATTTAATCAAGATGAAATCAGAATCAAGAAAAAACCTCCGAATGTCAAAGACAGAGCCTCTTCTCTGGCTCTGTATCAAACACCAAGAGAACAGAGTCTTTCTAGAAAGAAAAGTACCCTGCTGCGGGTATTTTCCCTTCGTAAGTTGCAACTTTTTGAAGACTATACTGATTTTCTTAGCTCCTAGCTTTATGAAATCAACCAGTAAAAATGATGGGAAAAAGTATTTACTCATAATGTAATTTGAGGAGGGGAGTAAAAAAAAAATAGAATGGATTACCCGTGGGAAGGTACCGTGGTACCCACGGGCCGTGGACGGTGTCGTTTCGGCGATGAAGATGGGTCCCACGAGTAGGCCCATCCCCACGCCGAAACAGGCCATCACACGTCCTACAGTGAACCACACGTAGCTCGTGGTGAACGCCACCACGAGCGCCCCCATCGTGTAGAAGACTCCCACGGAGGCGAGGACGTACCTCCGACCGACGTAGTTCGCAGCTACGCCGGCCGCGAAGGAACCAGCCCCGTAAGCCGCCCTCCTGGTGCACGTCAGGTACACGGCAAGCTCGGTCTGGCTGAGGTGGAGATCGGCCAAAATCGAATTCCCCGACTCCTGAATCGCCACGTGACCACGTCTGCACACAAAAAATTAGTTTATTAATATCAGTAAATCATTCACGAACCAAGTATGGGAGTAATTAAAATTGATAACTACTGTTAGACGGTCTTTAACAGGGATTCGTATAAGCCCTCGCTGTCCTGTGGTGTCTCATTTATTTTTCGCTGATGATTTGTATCTGTTTATGCGGGTTTCTGGATCAGAATGTTCTAGTTTAAGAGAGATCTTGGCTAGATATGAGGCATTGAGTGGTCAGAAGGTAAATCTGGACAAGTCGGCTGTCTACTTTAGTAAGAACGTTAAGCAACATGAGAGGGAGCATCTTGGGTCCATTCTTGGTGTTGGGATTGTGGGAGCTACTGACTAGTATTTGGGTTTACCTACTCTAGTTGGTCGTTCGAAGATAGAGACGTTTCGCTATATTGAGGAGAGGGTTTTGAGCTGGCTGCAAGGGTGGAAAAGGTGGTGTCTATCGTGGTCAACAAGAGAGGTACTATTGAAGGCGGTTGTGAATGCTTTGCCGATTCATGTGATGTCGTGCTTTTGGTTGCCTGCCACTTTGTGTAGAGATTTGGATAAACATATGGCTCGATTCTGGTGGGGAGCTAAGGCGGGGGAGCAGAAAATTCATTGGGTCTCTTGGAAAACTCTCTGTCTGAGTAAGGCTGGGGGGGAGGGGGAATGGGGTTCCGCCGATTTGAGGAGTTCAATTAGGCGTTACTGGCTAAGTTGGGATGGCGCTTATTAACGGATCCTGATTGCTTGCTTGCTCGAATTTTTTAAAGGAAAGTACTACCCCCGCTATTCATTATTAGAGGCTACTACGGGGTCTCTTCCATCATGGGGATGGCGTGGTATTTTACATGGTAGAGAGCTGCTTCAACAGGGTTTGCGGTGATAGGTCGGGACTGGGGATAAGATTTCATTTGCGACTTCGGATTGGGTCCCTGCTTGCCACCCAAATCCTCCGGCTTTGCGTCCAGAGATGGTGGGGGCTCAGGGGAGGGTCGATTCCCTGATTTCGTGTCAAGATGGTAGGTGGAGGGAGGATTTGCTTAACCAGCTATTCGAAAGGGACAATGTTGCCCAAATTCGGGCTATTCCTTTGCCAAGGGTTCCAATTCAGGATAGGCTGGTCTGGCATCATGACCTCTCTGGGTCATATTCTGTTCGGTCAGGGTATCATCTTGCGGCAGGTCTTAGGTGGGGGCGAGAGGTTCAGGCTAAGTTGGGTCCCTCAATTTGGGATTCGGGTTTGTGGGGTAAGGTTTGGAGTGCCCCAGTGCCCCCAAGTTTCAATTTTTCCTTTGGCAATTGTTGCGGAGAGTGGTTCCCACAGGTGAAGCATTATCGGTTAGGGGTATGGAAGGGGTCCTTCTGTGCCCCTCATGCTTATGGGAAGAGGAATCTGCTGAGCACTTATTCTTTCATTGTCGGTTGGCTGGTGGATGCTGGGAGGCGTCTGGGCTAGGTTTTCTTCGAGATGAGTTCACAACTGCCTCGGGTGAAGTGTTCTGGCGACGATTTCTTGACCGGCCGAATTTGTAGGGGGGATTGTTAATGCGAGTGATTGCTCTCTTCTGGCGTATATGGAAAGCTCGAAATTGGGTGGTTTTTGACTCCACGCTGTTCACCCCGGCCGTGTTGCTCTCTCAGTTCAATAGACAGGTGGCAGAATGGGAGGCGGTGCCTTTGGGTAGTGGGTTAACGTCTTCCCCTGTCTCTGGGGATGGGCTGAGGGGGTTCAGGGGGGGTGCAGGATAGGGAGGGGGCGTTATGGGTGTTTACGGATGGGGCTGTTCGGTCAGGTTCTCATGGGGCAGGTGGGTGGGTTCTGGAGGATTCCTCGGGGACGCTGCTTGGGGTCGATGCATCTGTCTACCCAGATGTCAAATATCCTTTCTTAGTGGAGCTTCTAGCCTTGAGGGACGGAATCCGGTGGACTCTTGAGATGGGTGTGCAGGATGTCGTCTTTGCAGGTAATGCCAAGGTGGTGCTTGACAAGGTGAAGGATGGCTCGTGTTTGGATGCTCGGGGCGGTGCAATTTTGAGGGAGATCAAGGGGTTGAGGCAATGCTTTCTCCATTCTAGTTTTTGTTTTGTTGGACGTGCTCGTAATAGGGTGGCCCATATGGTGGCCAAAAAAGCCCTTTCATTGTTCCCTAGTTTGATAGGGTTCGATTTTCGTTCCTGGCTATGGTCGGCTAATTGACTTTAGTGTATCTTGATTATCTCGTGCAATACGAAGTATCTTTTGGCAAACAAAAAAAAACACTTTTATCTTGAGTGATCTTTTTTTTGGTAGAATATAGGGCGCTTAAAGGGCGCCCCAACCTTTATGCATTAAACCAACCTGGGCGTTTGAGCCCCAACTCAATCAAAGTACAACCAGTACAGCAACATGGTACTGGGGACATCGAAAATATGCATGCCTACAGCAAGTAGGGGTAGGAATCGGTCGGTAAACGGTAAATCGTTTACCGAATTTACCGGTTTCGGTATACCGACGGTGGGCAAACTGTTTACCATTTACCGATACCGGTTTGTAACCGGTTTACCGATTACCGAATTACCGGTAAACGGTTACAAACCGGTTTACCGAATTACCGCAAAGGAAGGCTTGAGGCGGTTTTTCGGTTCGGTTTACCGACCATTTACCGAACCGAAATTCTGTTAAGTGGGGAATATGTTGTAATATTTTTATTTTTCTGAGTTTTTTTCTTCATGTTTGTAATTAATAAATTATAACATTTTTTAGACCTATACTTATGTATCATTTGTAACATTTGTAACTTTTATTTATAATATTTTTGTTCATGATGTATGTAATATTTGTGAATAATGAAGTATATGTTATATTGTTATATGTTAATGCCATAACTTAATATTTGAGTTCAAACACTAAGTTGCTATCTATTAATCTATTTAATTTAACATAAGTTCAAAGGGTCAACAATCATGATTCATGAATCAACATCAACTCTCATCATCAAGCATCATCATTCATCATTCATCAAATATTCAAATTCATCAAACGACAATTCAACAAACATCGTCAAATTCAAAGGGACAATGATAATGTCTAAATTCAACACAAGTTCAAAGTCCAAACTTAAAAATTAAAATAGACAACCAAATAAGTTAATAACCAAGAGCTCATGCTCCTCCTTCTCCGGTAGAACTTGTAGTACCACCAATATTTGCACAACCTTTCTTCTTCAAAGTCCTGAGAAGAGTATCATCGGGATCATCATCGGCATCTTGGTTCATGTCTTCGTCGGACTTGGTGGATTCTTCATCATCACCCTCCTCCTCCTCCTCCTCCTCTTCCTCATCAACCCCAACAACAGATCCATGTGCTCCACTTGGGATGTCACTTGCAGTGTCCACTCGAGATTGGAAAGTATTAGTAACTAGTGCAAATAAAATACACAAATGTTAGTATGTTACTAATGGAATGGTTTAAAATTTAAATAGTAAAGAATATAGACAAATTAGAATAATAAATTGAATTCTTACCACTATCATAATCGATTGTCTCTTGATCTTCTTCCTTATCATTCAGTTCATCTGCAGTCTTTCCATTTTCATATCTTATCCAATCTTCAGCACATATCAATGCCTCCACAATGTTTGGGCTTAAAGAGGACCTGAAAGGACTAAGAACTCGACCTCCACAACTGAAAGCGGACTCCGATGCAACAGAGGAGACTGGAACTGCTAATATATCCCTAACCATCTCTGAAAGAATGGGATATCTAACACTGTTCCGAGCCCACCACTTAAGAATGTCAAACTTCCGATCATCAATCTCCTCATTAATAGCATCACCAATATCTCTCAAATACTGCTCCAACTCACCAGAACCTCGACCCCCCCCCTCTCAATTTGCTCCTTTCTCTTCTGCTGGAACCGAGCTTCAAATGCGGACTCCATATCATTCGATCCGTCACTAGTCTCAGTAGGAGTAGTAGTCTGGGTAGTAGGAACAGAAACAGAGGATGAAGTTGCATACTTCATCTTGTAGACATCGTACAATGCAATCATCTCCTTCTTTACTTTATCTGCCAAAGCTTCCCCTTTTGAGATCCCATACATTTCCTCCAACATCATAGTCAAATAGTCTAGCTTACGCCTGGGATCCAGCACACAGGCCATGTAAACTATCCTATTTATCCTAAAGTTCTCCTCGTCAGCAACATCATTCTCAAACCAATACTTTCTCACCTTTGCCTCTATTCTCGATGCCATTCTTTGTATCTGTCTATCTGCATCTTTCTTCAATTTTGCTATCACTTCATGAATATCCACAATGGATTTGCAGAAAGTATGTGCAGTGACATATGATGTTCCTGATACAAAGAAAAATTTACCGACATTAGTATAAATAATATAACTCATAACTCATAATCATTCAGTTTAATTTTAAAATTTGAAAGTTATTAGTTCATATACCTGATACACGAAGAGTAAGCTCATAGAAGAACTTCAGGTACTTCATGAGCCGCCTAATACTGCTCCAATCATCTTCAGTTGGAAGACCCTTCTTTGAATCCACATACTCTCGAAAGGAAGAATCAGTAGGACTAGCATACATGAACGTAAAAACCTCCTCAAACCTCTCCGCGGAATCCAACATCAAATAGGTGGAATTCCACCTAGTCGGAACATCCAAAGACAATAGTCTTTTCCCATCCATCTCTAGATACTCAATGCCTTTCTTGAACTTTCCCATCCGAGCTGGGGATGACTTCACCCATTTCACACAATCCCTTACCCTCTCCACAGCAACTCCAACCTCCTTCAATCCATCAGAAACAACCAGATTGATGATATGTGCCACACATCTATTCTGCAAATACTTCCCATCTAGCAAATCTGTTCCCCACCCCTTCATTCTCATGCACTCAACAAGAACATCATTCGAACTGGCATTATCCATTGTCATGCAAAACAAACTCATCACTTTCCATTCTTGTAAACACTTCTCCAAAGTATCTGCAATATCCTTCCCCGTGTGACTAGTAATGGGAACAAAGCAAATAATCTTCTTCTGCAACTTCCAATCATCTCCAATAAAATGTGCAGTCACACACATAAAATTCTGGTTATTATCACTAGTCCATGTATCTGTAGTGATAGATATTCTTCCTTTGCACTTTGAGTTAAAAAACTCAATCAATATTTCTTTCTTCTCCAGAAAAATGACATAACAATCAGATCTTATTGTTTGCCTTCCAGGTATCACAAACAAAGGCTGAGCTGTTGCCATAAATCTCCTAAACCCCTCCCGCTCAAAAAATCTAAACAGAAGCTCATCCAAGATTATCATCATAGCTAATGCATGTCTAGATTTGTTCTGATCAAACTTCCATGGAGTAAGAGAGCCTACCTCACCGACTCCACTTTCTGTTCCAGGTTGATAGTTCAATACAGACTGACCACTAGCTTCCTTTGCCTTCCTCTCGCACATTAGGTGATGGCTCTTCAAACCACTAGTCCCATTGAAGGTTGAATGAGCTTTGATCAGCGTCCCACACCTTTTGCATTTGCCGTATGGGTAGTCATCAACCAACACACGGTTGTAAGGAATCCACCACTTAGATTTTGACTTCTTCCCCTTCCCCTTGTCAATTTTCTTCTGTACACCAGGTACCTCAACAGATGGAGGAGGATTTTCTGTAGATGGAGGAGGATTTGCCTCAGGAGGTGGATTTGCTGCAGCTGTAGGTGGATTTGCAGTAGTGGAAGGTGTGCTACTAGTTGAAGCCTTCCCTTTTTTTGAAGAGCTTCGAGGAGGTAGAGAACTAGCTTTCTTCTTCTTACTACCTCCTCCACGGCTGCCAGCAGAAGCTTTCGTCCTAAAAAAAACAACAAAATGAACACATAAACCTCCTAAACAACAATTACTCATCAATTTTATTTCTTTCAAACTCAATAAACAATTCTCATCAATTCAATACAAACAATGAAAACTGCAATTCAATTAACTTAGTTATTAACATACATATATAGATTTTGGCTAATTGCTATTGCTCAATTCACGAACATACATATTCAAAATTCAGTGAATGTTGACCGTTATTGGCTTGTTGTATGCTGATTGCTGCCTCCTTCGGCCCTTTGCTCTCCAAAATGCACAAGCACAATCCAATTTCTCTGCCCAAACCAACTAGCTCCCTAACCAACTCTGAAAATCAAATCTGAAAATCAAAATGCACAACAATTAGTCAATTACATTCAATTCATGGCTGTTTATTCAACAAGCACAGCGACAACACTATCCCAAATCACTGGAGCTGAAGAATAAGGAATTGAAGAATGCTAAAAAAATTTTAGGTCAATCAGCTGCCTAGCCATTCTCTTCGTCTTCGATGTCAAAGAATCAACGGAGCTTCCTCTATCAGACTAAGAAAAAAGGATTATTATTCTCTTCTGAGACCTGAAATTCGATAGTTAGGGAGCGAGATGAACGTACCCAGAGAAGATTCGAGAGCTGGAAACGGAGCTTCGACTAACGGCGGCGTAGGTCCTCGCTTCTTCGGACGGCGGCGTAGGTCCTCCCTTCGTCAGGCGACGCTCAAGCTGGGAACTTACCTCCAACTCCAAGTCGCCGAGCCGAGGGAAGGGAGAGGGAGACTAGGTCTGCGGGGCTGTCGGCAGGGCAGCGGGAAGGTGGCAGCGGGGAAGCGGGGCCGTCGGCGGGGAAGCGGGAAGGTGGCGGAGGGAAGGGCGTTGGCGAGGGAAGGGAAGTGCGCGAGGGTGAGGGTCTGGGTCTCTGCTGCGAAGAAGAAGAAATGGTGGCGGCGGGTCGCTGCTGCAGTGCTGGGCGGTATATTTTTTCAATTAGGGTTGAGATTTTTGGCCAAATGAAACGACGTCGTTTTGGGGTTCGGTATCGGTATTACCGATTTACCGTCGGTAATAACCGATACCGGATTCGGTATACCGACCCACCCATTTCGCAGCTCGGTCGCCGATACCGCCGGTAAACGGTTCGGTAAACCGGTAAACCGTTTACCGGAAAACCGAATCCCACCCCTAACAGCAAGGGTGTGTCCAAGAGAGGCTAAATAATCAGCAACGTAGTTTGCCTCACGGTACAAATGCTTAATCTTGACCTGCCAAGGTCTCTCTAGCCAGCGACGAATCTCCGCAACACTCGTGTAATGTGGGTGGTTCGTTGCAGATTCAATGAGAGTAATCGCTGTGTTGGAGTCTGTCTGAAGAATCACCTTCCTAGCCCCTTCTTCCCAAGCAAGCTTCAACCCATGCACAATTCCAGCCAGCTCTGCTCGAGTGATTGAACCCCCCAAGGTTCGTTGAAAAAGCTTTAATGAAGCGGCCATCGTCTCCCCTCATGATTCCTCTACACGTTGTGCTCTCGTGTGCTTGTATCACTGAGCCATAGGTATTCACGCACAACCAGCTAGCTTGAGGTGGTTGCCAGCCAATGAGTCGACGTTCCCGGAGTCCCCAGGCTCAAAAAATGCGACTTTCTTTCTCGAATGCCGTGTGAATCCGATGCTTTAGCTGCTTTGCGTCGAACTGAATTTGTGCATAGGTCTTCAGCTCACCTTCGAACAAGAGGCTATTCTTGTTTTTCCACAGTAGCCAACACGTACCTGCAAACAAAGTAGGATCTACCACATTACTGCGACTAGAAAGGTAGTGTAAAGACCATCGCTTTATGTCAGGGTCGAAGAAGCTGTCGTCAGGCTCGCTTTCCAGGAATTCCGCCCACATCGCTCTCGCAAAAGGGCAGTCTCGAACGACGAGCATGGCTGTCTCGCTTGTTCCTTCGCAAATTTTACAGCCGCTGTCCTCCGTCAGGTGTCGTCGTTGGCGTTCAGCGTTGGTCAGCAGCCTGCCGTGAACCATCAGCCACAGAAAAGTCCGGACGCGCTGCATGGTGGGAGTCCGCCAAATCGTGCGCCATGTAGATGCCTAGTGCTGCTCTCAGCTCCACTATCAAGCAGATCGTAAGCTGTCTTCAGGGTGAACTCGCCAGATTGGGAGAACCGCCACACTCTCACGTCGTCTTCTAGCTCCGCCGGGATCGGATGGAGTTCGACCTGCGAAACAACATGGGGCGGTAAGTACACATTTAAAAAATACCTGTTCCACTCATCATTTAGCATTTAGCACAAAATCAGTGATAGGCATCTGCAAGCACTCCTCCGGTATGTTAGGTGCCGAGTCTTTGAGGATCAGTTCATCTGCCATCCATCGGTCACTCCAAAACCTTGCCACCCTTCCGTTTCTAATGTTCCAGCTTGAAGCCTCCTCTACAAGGTGTATCACCCTTAACACTCCCCGCCACAGGTTGGATAACCGTCCTGTCAATCGAGCCACCAGACCCTCCTCGGCTTGACGAAAGTATTTTGATCGGATCACTTTAGCCCACAACTCATTTGGGTTCGTTAGCAACCTCCAAGCAATTTTTAACATGTAGGCTTCGTTTGTCCTTGTTGCATCTCTAAGCCCCAACCCTCCTTCCTCCTTCGGCCTGCAAAGGGTCTCCCAGTCAACTAGATGAATTTTTCTCCCTTGGTCTGTACTCCCCCAAACAAACGCCCGGATCTTTTTATCTATATAGTCATGCACACTTGCCGGAAGAAACACTGTCTGTATAGTATAAGCTGGGAGGGAGGAGAGTACCGAAATCGCTAAAGTGATCCATCCTGCTAGTGACAACGTGGAGGCTTTCCATCCTGCAAGCCTCGAGTCTATTTTATTTATCAACTCTATGTAGGTAGCTTTCGATATCCGATCATGGATAACCGGCACCCCCAGATACCTACCCAGATTGAGAGTCTCGGGGATCTCAAGGGCTTCCCTCATAACGTTACGAGCTTGAGGCAAAACATTAGCTGAAAAGAAGACCAGGGACTTCGGTTTGCTGATCTTTTGGCCTGATGCCCCTCCAAAGAGCTCAAAGCAGTCAAGAATCACTTGCACCTATTCCAAATTCGCCTTCCCAAACAAGATAAGATCGTTGGCAAAAAACAAGTGGGACAAACTCGGCCCAGAGCTAGCAAGCTTTATCGGTTTCCACTATCCGTTTGTCACAGAGTCATCGATAAAGTGCCCGAGCCTCTCCATGCAGAGAGTGAAGAGGTATGGCGATAGAGGCCAACCCTGCCGGAGACCTCTCTAAGGGTAGAATGGCTCAGTTAGTCCACCATTCCACTGTATCTGCATGGCAGCTGACGTAATACACGCCATCGTGAGCTCCACGAACTTGGGAGGGGCGCCTGCTGCCTGGAGTGTATCTCTTACAAACTCCCACCTAATCCGGTCGTAAGCTTTTGCCAGATCAATTTTCAACGTCATCCAGCCTTTCCGACCCTTTCTCGCTCGCATAGAGTGAACTACCTCTTGCAAAATGCAGATGTTGTCGGTTATATGACGCCCGGGCACAAAGCTCGCCTGTGTCTCATGGACCAAAGATGGCATCAACCCTTTCAGCCTTTCCATCAAACACTTAGTAATCGCTTTGTAGGCCACATTACAGAGGCTAATCGGCCTGAATTGCTCGATAGAAGAAGCTTGGGCCACCTTCGGGATGAGGACCAGGATGGTTGAGTTGACATCCTTGATTTTGTGCGGCATTTCCCAAGATTCCTGCGCCAGGTTACCCAATGATTCTCCCACCATGGACCAACATTTCTGAAAGAACAACGGGTTGAGGCCATCTTTGCCTGGAGCCTTTAAAGCCCCATAGATCGGATTGAGTGATCTTAATCATGTCAAAAGATATTTTGTGCAAATATAGAAATATACAAATAAATTTTTTAACATAAATAAAATATATTTTAATCATATCAAAGAATGTTGTATACGATTATCATACTCTAATTTTTGAAAATATTTTATTTTGAATTTTTCAATAACATATTAACAAAAGTCCCCCTCCCCCCAAACGCCAAATTTTGGCTCCTCCGCTATCGAGGTAACTCTATTCTTTTTTAATCTTTTGAGACATCTCGCCAAATTTTTCGTTTCAAGCCTCTGAAAATTATTATCATTGTGTTAAAAAATTATTAGAAATTTCGTAGATGAAAAATATTTGATGAATTAGCTCAGTTGAGTTGAAGGCAAAAGTTAATTTATTATATTCATAGGTCATATGGTTCTGAAATTTGCCTTCGACTGGAGTACCTTGGATTTCTTAGCCTCCTTCCACCCAAGGTTTCAGCGACTCTCGTGAATGTGGCTTCCGGTAATAGGAGGTAGGGGCGGGCGGAAAAGGAGGCATGGCATCTTCCAAACCGTCCTCCTCAATGGAGGAATTGACACTAGCCTATGGACTAGTTTTAGAGAGCTTTCGTCAAGAATCCACCGATCCACGGTATTTCCATCTTTAAAAATCAAAGTTGGCCTTGATTCAAAAATAGGGTAGCGGTACGCAGAGTCCAACAAGAGCAGGAGACGGTAGCATTGTCAGAGAGGAAGGTAACAGATGGTGTGAAATAGAGAGGAGGAGAATGACCGAAGTCCTAAGAGCAGGAGACTTCTGTCTGGGGGCCGAGCAGTGTCGAAGGCCTAAGAGAGGAAGAACGTCAAATTTGTTCAGAAAGAGTGAGGAAGAATGAAAGGGGTTGGGCAGATAAGATATGAAGGGGGAGGGAAAGAAAGTTTTGGTTGAGTTGGAAAAGAAAGGAAATAGGTAAATTTGAGTGGGAATGAAAATTTTGACAGACGGAAAAATTTGGGAGGAAAGATAAAATTTCTATTGTGTAGGTTTTAACTGACATAATTCAAAATTATGTGTCAGTTATAACGCAAATCAATATAACCCGAAAATAACTAATTTAATTTTTTAACGTTTTGTTGGTTGTAACCAACACAATTTAATATTTGTGTCAGTTAAAACCAACATCAGCATAATCGATAAAGATAACTAATTTATTTTTTTAACCTTTGTGTTGGTTGTAACCTAATCAGTTTGAGATTTCTGTTAGTTAAAATAGGAACAATGACCAATACAGATAACCAAAAAACTGCAATCAGTTGCTTAACCTACGCAAATATCTGACTAGAATTCAAAAATCTGTGTCGGTTCACTTACCAACAAATCGCTTGCTCTCGTTCGAGCCTTCTTGTCCTACATACAACGTCACTTCAAATAATGGACATTTCCTTTGCCTTGTATGATGTCGCTCCGACTAGCTATCAGATTCTCCATGTGTGTTTCAGTTCAAATAATGGACAGTTCTTTTGCCTAGGTTTGATTCCAAGGGATGAAAAAGGACATGAATGGTGCATGTGGAAGTTTTTTGTGAACAAGTCTGCTAGCTGGTGGGAAGAGGAAACATGAAGGAGATTGATATTTTGAGCTTAAAGTTTTTCTTGAATCAGGTGATAGTCAATTTTAATGTGAATGGTTCTTTCAAGGAATGTGGAGTTTACAGCAATGTATAATACAAACTGGTTTTTAGAGTAGATTGTTGCAGGTTGGGGATGGGAGACCCAAAAATCATGGATTAAGTAGAGAATCCATTGGAACTCATATGTGGTGTCAGCTAGAACCATGTACTTTGTTTCACAGAAAGAATCAAGATTTTTTTTTTTGCTTTCTGCTCTTCCAAGAAATCAAGGTATTGCCAATATAGATGCAGTAACAAATAATAGAATGTTTGGTATCCACACAAGGAGCCCAATTTGAGTCACTAAAACCTTTGAGTGGGAGGGGAGAAGCAGATGGAAAAAATAGACTAGTAGAAGAAGCTGACTAGAGATATTTCAAAATCCTCAACACTACTTTGAAGTGCAGATAACTAGGGTTTGACATGAAGTGGCTGACGTGTTGTGCAACAT